ACCATGATTTCTAGCTTTCAGTTGCTAGAGATCTTTGCTTTCTAATCAGCTTGAATGTTTATAGTTCACAAGGGATTAAAAAATGAATATTAGGACAAAGTATAAATGGAAAGAAATTAATTAGGTTTTTAGTCAAATGTTAAATGGGGCACAATGAGTAAAGTGATTACTAAAGACTTCTTGATGAGCAATCACATCCTATAGTGAAGTCCTACTCAGGGACCACAGATTATGACCCTGCAGGCAGGAGTGCAGATCCTGCCACCTGATTTGGGCCGGCATCACTGGGTTCATGCCACATGGCCAGTGAACATGGTTCTGCTCCTAGTCATAGGTCACAGCTTCACAACACTGGCTGGCTTCTCAGCAAGCATGTCCCCTCTTCTGCCATAAGGCATGAGGGTCAGACTACGTGGGCAGAAAAAGGCAAACCCAGAACCACTCCTGGGGATATCCTGCTGGCTCACTATATAGCCCCCCCAAACAGTTCTGAAATTAGCAGCTTCTCAGGGACTAGGCATTATTTAGGGCTAATTTTACATAATTAGTGACATTTAGTAACAGCTCTGAGAAATGAACATGAACTGAAGAACTTATTCTAAGAAGAAATGTAAGGTGCAAAAAAGGGTAAGATGTATTAATTATTAAAATTAGTTGACTTGCTAAGTAAGAGCCAATCCAAGGGGCCCTGAGAGGTACAGGCAGTAATAAAAGGAAATTATCACAAATAATCCAAGTGGACATCCCACTCACAGATAACTGAGTGTTAACTATAACCCAAAATTCTAAGTATTTTTACCCCAATGATTTTAAGTAGTAACGACCACCCTCCTAAGTGTCAGAAAATGGGAGGCAACATGAAATGGGAGAGGTGGTCCTGACCCAGACCTCAAGAGGCCTGGATTTTCTCGTCCCTGGCTCAGCTACTAACCAGATGTTACCTAGTAAAACTGAACCTTGCTCCCAGAACTTGAAAGAAGTCTATGATTCAGAAAATGTTTCCAAAGGGCAGCACCTGTTAAGTCACCAAGTACAAAGAGGCTTTCCAGGTGGGGAACCCCTCTCTCCAGCTAGCAGGCACCCAAGGACTGTGGGGACGCACAGTGGCCCGGATGCCCCTTACCTGCAGCTGCACGGCACAGCTCTCACAGCACACAGTGTGGCCACAGGGACAGAAGGCCGAGTTGATCTCCCCCTCACAGCACAGCATGCAGAGCATGGCCTCCTTCAGCTTACGCAGCTTCTCCTGGAGCACTCGGGTCTGCTGGCAGCTGAGGCCTTCACAGCTACTGCAGTTCATGCTTTCCGAGGACTTGAGAGGCGAGTTTGGAGGGCTAGGGTTGCTTCTCGAAACCAGGTCCATGACGCCGGCATTGTACAGGGCCCTCCTGGCATGGTCATAGACCTCCTTTGACGTTCTTTTAATATCGAAGACGTACTTCTTGCCAAGGTTAATATTTTCATTCAGAAACAGAGACGCCAAGTGGCCCTTCAGGTCTCGGCTGTACTGCATCATGACAGCGCTGGTCACCGTGTCACACCTGCGGGGAGAGACGGAAAACCTCAGTGTGGACAAGCCCGGGCACCCCACCAACTCAAGAGTTCCAAACTCTGCTATAAGACTGCTAGTGTGAGCAGACCTTTGACATTCGTATCTATGGGCTGTCAAGTAATCCTTCTGGTTTTATGTGTGTTACACATCTCAGTGATTCTACCTCCATGTTTCTCAGTGTCTCTGACGCACCTGATAATGCAGCCATAGATGCAGAGAGCAGAGCATGTGCACCTCCACACTCCGGGTGGGGAGCTCTAGTCCAAATAGCTCATGGCAAGAAAAAGGGTATTTTCCTTCAACGTCTTGGCTTTATGTTAAAAATGCCTACAAGTTTTCCATTTTGCTCCACAATTTGTGTGTCTATTTTCACATAAAAAAGGTTAAGGTTGCCTGCCAATTAAATTTCTTGGCTGTAATGTTCCAGATATTTTAGTCAGATTACAACTCTGCTTTAAAACATCCTCTGAAACGATGTTACTAAGAGCTTTACAACACAGTGAGGATTCAGGGTGGCAGCTCCTAGACAGGACAGACGACCCAGGTCACCCTGCCGGGAAAGGGCCAAAACCGCAGTGGAGTAGGCCATGCGCAGAGGTCCCTTGCGGGGAGGAGGTGTTACAAGGAAATCAGGGAAGAGATGGCAGCAGAGTGCACCCGTGCAGCTCATACATTTGCACTTCCTTTGGGCAAAGCAGGATGAGGTAAAGGACTCCTGGCTAAGCAGAAACAAAACGTTTAAAAGCTTTTCTTAAACTCCATACAAGATACACTGAAACGTGACATCAGAGACTGCAGGAGCCTCGGTGTCTGTCGCCTGAAAACCTCAGTGCTTGGACAGACGCTAAGGTTATGGGGTGAGCAGCACCACGTGCCTGTAGAAAGCATGCGTCTCTGTGATCGCTCGGTAGAGCCCGCTGGCCGCTCTGGTGCTGATCATCTTAAACAAGAGCACGACGCTGTTCCCGGACTCCTTGGTGACAGTCAAGTACACATTCTTCCCTGACTGGGTGGCCATCTGCACCACGGGGTAAGCTATCCTGAAGGATGGAAAGAGAAAAGTGAGCAAGGCCAGAAGGGAAGTTTGCCACTGTGTGTGGCTCTGAAGGATTCTCACGTGCTCATGACCTTGCAGTAAACCAGATGCTCAGTCTGGGACTGTCACATAAGCACTTTGCTCCCCAGTTACACAGGCACATTGAAAAGTGGCTGTGGGTCAGTGCAAGTTTGGGTGTGGGTTGTGTGTACACAGGTGAAAATGAGATTTTTATAGCAGTGAACAACTTATTTGAAAAATATTAACTTTGCCACAGCAGTACACTTGTGTTTGTATTTTTTTAAAAATAACTAAATGGTTATCAAGACCTGAATAAAGTTAATATATAAACCAAAAATGAAATATTTTATTTCTGAAGGATAGATAACTGTCCAGGAAATCCCTCTCTACTATTTTCATGATCAGAGCTACCAAGTACACACAGGCTTAGGACTAACCAATTTAAGAGTTGCGTTACCTATTAATTGGGCTAAAATCATCTTTGCAAATTGAGATTCCTTCCGGTCCAACCCCAATGAGGAGTCTCTGCCCCTCGCTGTCCCTCACGGAATGCCATTCAATGCCATAGTTTTCCATTGCCGAAACAATCTGCAGAACTTGATATTCTGCCGAAGCCTGGCTGGTCCCCTCCAACTCCTTGTGCTTTGCAATTACGCTGCAGGGCCAAAAGGGCAGAGAGGGATGAATGGATTTGGTCTCTAGAGTTACATCTGTACCTTTTCCACTAGTGCACTATCTTGACACTGCCATTTATGAGTCACAAACACTTGCTTTACGTGACTCATATTTCCCTTATTTAGCAAACATACGGTAAAGCAGTTCTAAGACACTGATCAAGATCTCTTCTTTTTTAGTAAAAAAATCTATTGTGGATGCTGGAGAGCGGTGAGTTGGAAAATTATGGAAAAATCTCTAAAACTGTATGGAAGAAATTTATATGAGGGCAGTTTTCATGCATTTGTTTACATGTACAAGTTTCCTTATAGCATTATAAGAGGTTGATCAGATCATTTACGACTGAAAAAAATGCAGGATTTCCTATATATATTGTGGCAGACAGCTCTAATACGGTCCTTAAAGTTCCCCTCCTCCTGGTGTCACACCCTGTGTAATCTCCTTGAGTGTGGCCTGGAACCTGCTTCTGACAAACAGAATACGGCAGAAGAGATGGGACGTCACTCACTTCTGTGATTAAGTTCTAAAACTTTGTCTTTTGTGTTCTCTTGCTCCAACCTGGATTGCCTATCCAGGGTGAAGCCAGCCCCCATGTAATGAAACAGTGCCGAGGAGAGGCCCAGGTGGTGAGGGGCTAAGCCTGCCCATAGCCACACGAGTCAACCCAGAAGCGGGTCTGTCCCTTGGTTGAGCCTTCAGATGAGACTGAACTCCACCAGTAGTTTCTCTGCAGCTGCATGAAAGATCTTGAGCCAGGGCACCCAGACAAGCCATGGTCAGAGTCCTGACCCACAGAACTGTGAGATAATATTTGTTATTTTAAGCAGGTAAGTTTTAGGGTAACTTGTTACCCAGGAATAGAGAACTAAGACACCTATGTTAGGTCTCTTGGTTTAATCCTTGCTGGGATGAAGAAAATGCAATACATATAACAGGCTTTTTATTTTAGATTTACATTCTTAAAAGGTCAGACATTTTTAAATTCCTGTTATATAGCATTTCATGTAAGGGCATCTGCACAGATTATGTTTAAAAATTCCTCAAAGAAAAGGCTACAAGTCTTTTGAAAACGATAGGCTAAACTGGGCAATGGCCTTGTCTTAACCTCACAAATTATCTATCTATCTCATAAGATTCATTTTCTTCTAGAAACTCTTACACATTTGCTAGATCTCTACATATAGTCAGTAGCCTGCATTGCAGCCTCACCTGTTCAAGGTGGCACTGGAGAGCTCCTTAGCACACAGCTCCTCGTAGCTGTACTTGGCCGTGTTCTGATTGTAGTCTCCAAATTTGGTCTGGGCCAGGAGGGCACTGAGTTCAACTGCCTGCTCTGGGGAACACTGGAGATGGCCTGCCAGGAGGGCCTCCTTGATATGCAAGAAAAAGATATGCCTGCAAAGCAATGTGAGAATGGGTTGAAGCTGGGGGGCTAAGTCCAACTCCACCTTCTTAGCAATTTCACAATCCCTTTTAAGTAAGGAAAACAGAGCAATTTAAAAAGCCACTTGGAAAATGTTTACTATTAAAGAATCCTTGTAATTTTAAACCACATTTAGGGTAAAAAAAAAGTCTAAAGACTAAGGTTCTCTGGAATAAAAAGTATAACCCAAACAAATCTAATTAAGACAAGTTCAGTAACATTGAAGTCACAAAATGTAAAATAGTTATACACATTTCTGCATTATAATTTTTTAAAAGATCTTGGTGTGAAATTGATACCTTATGATCCTCATCTTTATTCAGATGACCCCAAATCTCTAGTCTTAGCCCCAAGATCTCTCTAAAGATCAAATGTCCAACTGCTTACAGACTTCTCCACTCCAATGTACTTCAGCATCCCCACTTCACCTCCTTCAAACAGTCTTCCTTCACAAACATACTTTTTCTTCCAGTGCAAACTGGAGATTCTTTTGTTATTTTTCCAATGGACTCACTTTTGACTTGTTATCTTATTTTCACCTACTTTCTGACTCTGAAAACTCTTGAAATCCAGTTCCATCCTTCCATTTTTACCTCCTCTGCCCTACATGCTGCACTCAACTGTCAAGAGAACTTACAACATCCTCTGAGCTAATCTCTCTTCTAGACTCTGCTAATCCACCTTCCAAGCTGCTTGCTTCGGGCATAAACTTGCCACTTCTCTGCTCAAAATAATTCAAGGGATGGCCACTGTTTGCTGAGGAAGCACACTGTTAGCACAAACCCAAGGCCCTCCACATCTGCCCCCAGATTTCCAGCCACATCTCCCATCATTCCCTCCAGTCACTATGCTCCAGGGAAGCGAAAATTCCTCTTCCTATAAAACTATGAGCATGTTCCTGCCCATGTCTCTGGTCTCACTGCTCCTTCTGTCCTGAAGGGCATTCTTTGTGTCCCCTCATTTAGATACCCTTTTGTCTAAATCACATGTGAATGATTTATTCCTCTATTACAATACTGGACATACTCTAACTTCTAGTACACTTGGCTGCTGGTACTAGAGTACCAGTGCCTCAGCATCAGAGAACTCTGCAATAGTACATAAAACTGGATATTGTTTGCGATTACTTTGTATATCACTTTAAGTGTCCTTCCATCTTGTCTTAACTGCATACAATACTATATTCTACATTTATTAAAAGATATGGCAGACTTAGAAACTTCTAGGAAACACAGATATATTACCTGCCAGTCCACATTTTCCAAGATTCTGAACAGAGTATCTAAACTGCCATAGACAGACTGGCTTAGGATAAAATTAGTCTATGGCAAATATACAGGTAAAACCTTCCTTTGATGACTTTTTTCAGCCTCTCAAACGTGCTTAAACGCCACAATGTCCCTTCCATTCACAAATGAATCATGACCACTGGTGCAGCTCTGAGCAGAGCTGGTTAAATTCAGTTCCCCACTGCGGGGGGTGTCCCTTAGTCCAGCGCTCAACACTGCTTTCAGGCGCTGACTCCTCTTGCGCTGGCCACCCAGGGAGAAAGAGTGCCACCAGCAATGTAAGAGAAGGAAGCTGAAGTAAGGAAGGCTAGAAATACAAGGGGAGGTTCTACTGGCAGTCTCAAAACGTCAGGCTGACGAGAGCCATTAATCTTTCTGTAAGAAATGTTTAAATTCAATGTATTGTGCCCTCTGTAATGATAAAGAAATATTTGAAATCATCACACTCTGCCAAGAACTGCAGTTTCTTCTTTACTCAAAGATTGTATGAAGAAACCAAAGAATGCGTAACAGCCCTGAAAGAAGATAAGCATGGTTCTTATCTGCTAGTCTTTAAACATCTGCTAGTCTTTAAAGTATTTCTGACATTCTGCTAAACTGAGAAGGGGTTTCCTGCAAAGATATAAGCACAAAAATAACTTGCGGATGAGCTATCTGAGGGCGAGGTCTAACATTCATGTAACACGCTGGTGTTACAACACTACTTCCGCCCTCAGGCTTTTTAGGTGACCACTCACAAAGGTTCATCTTGGTTAATGTAACTCCATCTCTGTATTTATCAGGGCCATGTTAGCAGGAAATGAAAACCTGAATATATGCTTACATTAAAGAAGAAATTACGTACCAAAAGATTTTAAGGTTATCACCACAAATGCAGCCTTCTCAATTTAATGACTGCTTTGTGAAAGTGTCTTTTAACTTACTTCTCAAGTATCAAGTTAGAGACTAGTTTCTGCTTTATTAAAGAGTATGTATAGCCTATAAAAGAAGAGTTTCAAAAATGATCCATTGTGTTTTTCCAAACTATGCATGTCTTCTTCTGGAGAGACAGCTGCCAAAATCAAAGGCAAAAAAGAAGTAACAACATATTAACAGGTGTCAGCAGCCTAACAGGAATGCTGATCTTTTCTTGGTGGGTGAGTCAGAATGAAAAAAAGCGGGCAGGGGACAACTGGCTTTTCTACATACTCCACATGTTAAGGCTGGATTGCAATCAATACCCTGTAAGCAGAAAAATCCTCCTCTTTGCTGTTTACATAGACTTTCTGATAGGGACCTTCCTGCGTGTTGCAGCTTCACAGGTACGAGGCTACCTCTTCAGGTCAAGTCAACAAATATTTGTTGTGCTGTGGCTCTGTGCCAAATCCTATGCTGGGCTAACTGGGTGAACATAGCTGAGAGCTCCTTTTTAGAGAGAACTGACAACATTTTAGGTGAAGCAACATATCCTATCAAAATAACTGGCTACAAACTGGCTTCTGGGCGACAGGTTTATGCTTTCCAGGAAAGCACAATTGGGGGGCAGTGACAGCAAAGGCCGCCAGTGGCGGTGAGCCATCCACGAACTCTATTTGGTGCTCTTTCCAATAGGGAGGCTGGCCAAGCTCAGAGACATATCCCACAAGGGAGTCCAGTGATGGCCCAGTAGTTAGGCAAGGTTTCCAATCAACTGTTTTCTATTATTTTCTCTCGCACCATTGGGCTTACAGCTCTGGTTCATGGGCTTTCCCCTCTCCCTTTTTTTAAAGTGAAGGTCATCAAAACAAGGAGATGTGGTCAAAGAAGTGAACTGATTTTGTTTATTTTACTTAAAGATCAAAAGTGGCTGACATATCTAACTTAATTTAATTTAAGCTACATGATAGAATCACAGAAAGAAAGCCTGTGAAAACAACAATTTTTTTTGTCTTAAGCAAATATCTGTGAGTATGTCCTATAGATTTAAGCTCAAAAGCATTTTCTAGACATTCTTCTGTTTAGGTCTTCTAAACCTTCAAATTCATGATTCTTCAAGTTTTACCAGGTTACTAAGAAAATGTATACTTTCATTACATGGGGCCTCGACATGAAACATTCTTGCTAACTCATGTCTTTGCATCCTGAGTACAAATGAATCCACACTTACTGCAGCATTATGCAAATTTTTTTTTCTGATGAAGTAAATATAAGGATATGCTATATTTTAATTTTAAAAAGTCAGACATCCTTAATATAGTTTTGTCTCAAAGTACTTTAAATTTCCTCTAATTTTAAAATTAATTCATTTCCTTAGCTTTAAGGGACAAAGTTAGGTCATTTACCTTTTAAGAATTATAATCAGAGAACTCTCCTCTAAACACTGGTTTGTCTCATAAAGAAATGATCTGATAATCAAAATGAACTTCCTGCAAACCAGTTGGGAGTTGATATGATCACAAATGCTTACTCTCAACTACTACTACCCTCTAGTATGTCATTCTAAAGAGCTTTTCATGACATACACATAAAACAACTATACCCATATTCACTATTAAATTCAGTATTAAGTAACCAACCTAAAGCATCTTTAAAATGGCTAAGTGGGTATTTTTGGAAACTTGCTAGTCCCAATAATTGAACTGTATTTCTCTCCAAGAGGCCGGACTGAACCTGGCCATCCATTCATTAGTAATGGCTGGTTTGTCCCTTACCTTTAGGTCCTCACTGAGATCACCCACATGGTGGCCTCAGTCCAATGAGTCACCTAACCATATTAGTTTATTTTAAACTAAACTCTCACTGCCAAGTTATATTTAAAAACTATTCCATCAAAGCACAATTGCTATGAGTTTTTTGTTTTGCATCTTGGATTCCAGTGAAACAAGTATCAGTTCACAATGGATGACAAGCCTAAACATAAAAGCTAAAACCATTATGCTTTTAGAATTATACTAGTAGCACATCTTCATGACTTGGGGTAGACAAAGTTTCTCAGGACACAGTCAGCAAAAACAGTAAAAGAAATAAAGGATAAGCTGGAATTCACCAAAATTAGAAACTTCTACTCACTAAAAGGCATCAAGAATACAGGCAAGTCATGGGAAAAAAATATTTACAAAACCTTTCTCTAACGAAAGACTGGTATATATAAAGAATTTGTACGGCTCAAAAATAGGTAACCACTCAATAAAAATGGATAAATGACATGATTAGATACTTCACAAAAGATACATGAAAGGCCAAAAATGAATATATGAAAAAGTGTTTAACATTAATCAACAGAGAATTAAGTTAAAACCACAACACACCCACCCAAAGGTTGGCAGGATGTGGGGAAACTGGACTCCCATGCATTCTTGGTGGGGGGCAGAATGGGACAATTGCCTTGGGAAAAGGTCTGGCAGTTCCTAAACAATTACCTCCTCTATGACCCAGCTATTCCATTATTAGAGATTTGTTCAAGAAAAACCAATGTCTGCATTGGTCAAGAAACCAATGTCTGCAAAAAAAACTTACACTTGAAAGTTCAGAGCAGTATTATTCATAATAGCTGGAAAACAGGTATTCATTAATAGGAGTATGGATAATCAGAGAACTGCATTCCTACAATGGAATACTATCCAGCAAAAAACAGGAACATGCCACTCGTATATACAATGGATCTCAGACAGTTCATGGAGAACAGAAGCAGCTAGACACAAGAGAGTATGCACTGCAAGATTCCATCTACACGATGTATAACAAGCATGATTAATCTAGGCTGGAGAAACATAAGCCTGGTCGTGGAGTGGGGTGGGTGGGCTGGGGAAGGATGGGGACCAAACGGAGGAGATGAAAGAACTTTCTGGAGTGATGGTAATCCAACTGGAGAAGGAGATGAAAGAACTTTCTGGAGTGATGGTAATATTCCACACATGTTGATAAGGGGGTTAAACAGACTCATCCATTTGGCAAAACTCATTAAATGGTATAACTAGGATTTCTGCATCATATGCAAATTTTATATATTAAAAGAACACAGGCAAATACTAAGTTTTAGTTAATGATATGCACACTGAAGTACTTTGGAGAAGGATACTTACAACTAATTTTGAAAAGCATGAAAAGAGGGATGGATGGGTGGGTAGAGGAATCAGTAAATGGGTAAACATGTATGTGATAAAGTAATACGTATATTAAACTATTAATAGTAGAATCTAGTTGGGGTTATTAGGTGTTCAGTGAAAATCTTCAACACTTCTGTATGTTTGCAAATTTTTGTAATAAGAGGTTGAGAAAATAATACTAGTAAAAATCCCTTAGGGCCAATGTTCTGAATTCAAATGCATAGTACACCTACTAAAAGGAACCATCAAATCGTCTACTTTATGGCAGGTTTGCAATTGAAAAACCTATCAAAGCTAAATAATTACCAAATCAGGTGGCTATTCCAGCTTAAGGAAATCCTTGTCACAAGGATTCATGGATAATGAGAATCATGGATAAATTTGCTTGTCCTCAGGCTCCAAAGCAGTTAAAAGACATGGAGTGCAGCAGTACAAGGGATTACAACCCACCCTGGAAGAATACTATTACTTGGGAGCATCAAGCCTGCACTTCTAAAAAATATGACTACTCACTCACAATAGATCCTTGTCCTGGGCAAACCACAATCCAGGCAGTCCTACAGTTTAAGTGTTCACTACAATCTCTTTCTCAGCAATCTAGAAGTGCTGGGAGTACTATTAGGTCCACGAGAGGTCTGGGACCAGGCTGCAGTGGGGCATAATTCAGAGGATTAATAACACAACACCCTATATATCTGAGCAAAAAGAAAACCAGATAAATTAGAATTCAGAAATTTCATTAATACTCTCTTTGGAAATAATATACAAGTCTGTTTTTACTCTTTTCACTTTCCTGGGGCCTATTTTGTGCTTGAGCATTACAAAAAAAAAAAAAAAAGAAAGAAAGAAATTAATGCAACATTCCACTCCTATTTATAGTTATGAAGATAGTTATGAAGATAGTTATGAAGAACTCCTAGGCAGATAGTTATGAAGAACATACATGGCATCTTTATAACAAGTACTGCTACAACAGCATCCTGCAGAACTCACCCATCCTGGATCCCACAAAGGTAAATTAGGTAAGCAATCTTTATCAATGCTGACTGTTTTTGAATATTTGGAACATGATTATAGACACTGGCTAAAATCAGTATGATTCAGGCTCTGCACTGATTCAAAATCACCTCCTCCTATCTGCCTATAGTTTGCATGTGGCATTTGCTCTGTGGGTTTCAATGATGCCATCTTCCAAGATTTCTCACATGTCTAAGTGAGTTCTGTTGGGGGACAGGGGGAATCTGAGTCCAATGAGTACTTAGAACCTACAAATTGAGATAAAGGAAGCCTCTAGCCTGAAAACTACCTGGACTTCACAGAAGGTCCACCAAGTGTTGGTTCATTTTAGATAAGAACCAACAGCCGCAATAAACAAATAGCCTGGGGCAGGGTGTGTGTGTGGGGGGGTGGCGTTAGGGGGGCAACAAATGCCAGCACCAGCCAATTCTTAACAGAGTAATAGCTTTGAGACAGTTTTCAATGGAAATATTTCTTTTAGATAGTCTCAAACTTTTCAGTTTATACAAGCATATGGGCAAACATTTCAGTATCTACAAGAAAATTCTAAATGAACTCCATTTTTATTTATTTCCAAGTTCTTAATTCATTGCTTTAACAAACATTTATGCACCAGTCACTTGCTGAACTCTGGGGATATAGTAGTTGATCATCTTCCTGCTTAATGGAATTTAGATTATTAGTGTGGCTGGGATAAACAAATTGTCATATAAGTTAACAATGCTATGTTTATTAAATTCCACCTAGGAAGGCTACACAGATGTCTGGAGAGTTGAGTCTCCAGGGTAGGCCTAAAGGGGGCTTTCCCCAGGAGTGGTGACAGAGCTGAGGTCTAAAGGACAGTGGGATTTCACGAGGAATGAGTGACTGTATCACTGAAGTCTTGATGAGATTCGCCATTGAGAATTACACTATTTCTTTGAACATTTAGTTCAGGACTCCAGCCCTGGTATTGGGGTTGTTTTCTGTGAAAGACAATTCAGGTGAGTCTTAACTAAGCAGAAGTAGGGCCTGTAGCAAAGACCACAGCACTATGCTGAAATGTGCCAAAGTCAGGTAAAATAGATTTTACTGGTGGTGGATAGTGTAATTACCATCTCTGGAAACGAAGCATACAATTCTCTAATCTCTGGTTTTGAAATGTTGACAAAATCTGGTCTGAATTGCTTGCAAATAACCAATAGCCTTTGAAAGGCAAGAATTTCAAAGACTGTTACTTCAGATCTACTTTCAGAATACAGTAGTTTCACTTTTAGTTTTAAACCACAGCATGGCAAACATCTGCTGCAAATACCTGCAGTTTCCATCTCTGAAATGTGCCAGCTGAGTCTAAACAAGACTCTCTGGTTACTTTCCAGACACTCCCATTCATGAGCAAATAATAATGTGGGTAAAGAACCAAATCTAAAATTAGGCCAAATCAGAGACTAGATTATCTATCAATCTAAACAGATACTTGTGTTTTTTCTGTCTTCAGAAAAATGTATTTAGGAAAGCATTAAGGAAAACGATAGAGAGAGGAAGCAGAAACAAAACTTCTACCGCAGGAAGGGATTTTAGAGACAGTTTCTTCCTTTCAACTGTGCTGAAGAGCTGGGCTCAGTCTTGGAAGTCCGCGTGTGCTGGCAGTTGGTGGCAGAGCTGGATGTAGAATGCAGGGTTTCAGTCTGGTCCCTAGTACTCTCCTGTTACAAACAGGCCTTCCTGCTTATCACTGTCTCAGTGGTTTCCTTAATCTGATGCAAACTAACACATTAACTGTCCCCAGTGGGGCCACCTCTACTATAAACAGGCTGCTTCAATTCTCCACAGAGGTCAATGTGGCCAAGATATTTCAGCATTATTTAATAGACTGTCCAGACATTTTTAGTATACTAAATGTACCCTCATGACTTGACTTAGAGATGGTACAAAATCACCTCTCATACCTGGACAGGCAAAGCTGAGTTTACTAACCACATAAACAGATTCATTTTATTTTCATGGCATTTTATATAAACATTATCTAACAAATAATTAAACATTAAAAAGTTTACCAACCAGCTTTATTGTGCCAACATAACATTAGGGAAAATAAGCATTTTTGTTCTATAGTGTTATGCATAGAAAAACAATGTTAATTGTAACTAATCTGGACCCAGTACAACTTCTGATCCTAATTAGAAGGCACAAATGCTAACTATAAATCACTTTATCTCATTATTAAAGTAGAATGCTATATAAACTTTAGGTGGTATTTTCTTAAACTTCTGTATTTCAAACAACTCCACAAAAACAAATAAAATTCATCAATATTTTAAAAGCAAATCACTTAGATCACACTAATTTTTCAGTTACATTTCAAAAGGAATTAGAATCAATTAAAATTACTGGTCTCTCTAGGTGTGTGCATTCTGAGTGCTATTAGAAATGAATCTCAAGAGTCAAAGTAGGAAATTGATACCGATTCTAATTCATAAAATATCTATTTCTTACATGAATAAAATGGATTTGATAATAGTAGCTCAATTACAGGAAAGCACAAGTAAAGACCATCTAGTAGTAAATTCTATAATCTGTAAGCATTCATAATACAAATGCATTATACTATTATGACTGCAAACATTATTTATGGTTTATTCAGTCCTCCACACTTCTTCAGATTTAAGACGTATTTGTCATCAAAACAGATTTGCATCTGAAGGCCCTGAAATGATCACAAAATCATGATAAAACTACACAGTGAAAATTCCAATATATTGTGTTTTATATACATTTTCCCTTAACTGAAAGTTGTCACACTGAGTACAAAGTAGGAGCTTCACAAATTAGCATTAAGAAAAAACTAACCTTAATCTAAACTAAGAAAATATTAAAAGAAAAATTAATATTTAAAAACATCTTTAAACATGCAATCACTTGAATATTTTGCAAGACATTTTCAGAAGTACTGAGAATACAGTTCTTCCCTTAGAAAAAAACATTGACCATCTATCTCCTTCACCTTTCAAATTCAAATGAGTAGTTTCAAAACATGTTTCTATCAGTGCTTTGGTAAAGGAACAAAAAAATGACATGTTAAAACTCTTAAAGGATCCTGCTCACTCATCATTACTCAAAATTGCCACACACCCATAGCAAATTCCCAGGCTAAAGGATTATGAAAAGCATTAGACTTTAGAGCCCAAGTTTGCTGTGTTTAAAAGCATTTTCCCTTACTTTGTTGTTGACATATCACTGCAAGATTTAGGTCGCCAGCATTTCAGCAGTAAGGATCAGACATCAGTTTCCTAGTTTGGCTCATCCTTGAGAAAAGTTATTCCAGTTGGTACAGAGGGGGAAACACTTTCTGTTTGAAAACAGGAAACCCCGTAACTCCAGCTGTCTACCACTACTGGTGGGGTTCTGGAATTACGGAGATAAATTCAACAATCTAAACTCAACAATCATGCGTAACGTTATCTGTAGGTTAGAGTTTGGTTGCACTGGCCTTCAAAGAGTTCTCTTACTAAGTTCTTGAGAAATTCAACAACTTTAAAACCTCTGCATTTGGTCCCGCTCAGACAGCTCTTCACTACATACTGTAATCTGACACGAGGCTGAAGAAGTTGACTAAGTAACCCAAGAGGAACTGTTTCCTGCTTTCTGTTATAACAGTCTACAGTGACCTACAGTAACACTGCTGAGGCAGAGGTTACTCTCGGGCATTAGATGATGCTATCAGGAAGTTAGCTGGGTCTTGTTTTCTCTTTCTTCCTTTCTTCTCTTTTTTTGCATTGTGGCACTGATCTCAAGTTTGTGAGAATTCAACCCTGCTCTCCCACTGTTTATATAGACAAGAAAAACCATGAGAAAAATTGGACAATGTACCCCAGGCCAACTATGCAGTTCCCTCTTCAGATCAACGAAAGGGCTATGCCCTGGAAAACTTCTAAGTTAGGAACCACCAACTCACTCTGTACCAAAACAAATCTGCCTGTGAACATCTCTGGGAAGGTGCAAGGGCCCTTTCTACATGGAATCAAAGGTCTACTGGACACTGGTTTATTTTAGTGTCACTTTACCGAGTTTGCTCCTGTAAGATGAGATGAGGCTCCACGAAGAATTTGACTCTCAGTTTAAGGCGGTAAGGGGCTAGCCCATCCATCTGCTGGGAGATCCGATTCCTCAGATTGAGCCATAAGCTTTCACCTTTGCTACCCGTAAACTGCAGTCCAAAATAATCAACTTCTATAATTCCCAATCGCCTGCACACCTAAAACAAAAATGAATGCAGCAGGGGTGAGCAAGTGGTCCACGTACTCAAGGTAAACCCAACGGCTCCATCTGAGCCCGAGATTCCTGCTTACTTTTTCCGAAGTTCGAAAACGGTGTTACAATTCCTTTTGCAAGCTGGAAGAACAAAGCACAAAGGCTCCAACGATGCTACCCCTCTGGATGCGGCAGAGAGGCACGCACTAGGGCTGGGTCGCCGGCAGGCGAAAAAAGGCAGTCCTCAAAAGTCGCCTGCATAATGGCTGAGGGGGGAACCTACAGGGTATTTTCCTTCTTCTTCCCGTCACCCGACTTCCCTCCGCCAGCACGGTCTGCACAGCTGGTCTGGCAGCATACTGTCGGGACAGTGTTAACCATCTGGACTCCAACAAAACAAACCACGCTGAGGAAACACGCAACAAGTGTCAGCTCAGCTCCCCCGGAGGTTTTTCAAATATCTCAGGCCTGGGGGGCTTGGGGGCACAGCGTCTCAGCTGAGATCCAATTTGCTGTCTGCCTTAGAACGTGTGCTGTTGGGCCCCGTTCCTGTCCTCTCACAGAAACGCCGCTTCAGGACAACCGGGGCGGGGACCACCGGCGCCCACGGTCCTCTCGGCCCCCGCCAAGCGGGAGATAAAGGTGGACGGTCCATTTGCGAAGCAGCATGAAACACTGGCCGGGCTTGTCTGCAGAGCAACCCCTCCTCGGACCCGCGACATCCTCCAGCCACCTCACTGCGGGCCGCGGAGGACGCCGCCAGGCCCCGGGAGCCCCACCAGGCGGCATCCCGCACACACCTGCGGCAGGTGTGCGGCCGCCCTCTTCCGGGGAAGCACCGGCCGGGGGCAGGGTGCTGGGGGCAGGGGACAGGCCTGCGGCGCGCGTCCTCCGGGCCCACGCGCTGCCGGCGCGGGGACGGGGCCCGGTGCCCCACGCGGGCGGGAAGGAGGCGGCTCCCCCGGCCGCCGCCGCAGCGCCGCCCGGTCCCTGACGAGCAAGCCCCGGCGCCGGGCGCCCCCGGGAGGGCCCTCGGCCTCGGGGGGACGGCGAGCGCCCCGCCTGGCCCGCGTCCTCACCTGGTTGAGACAGTCTTCGCCGTTGGCTTTCACCTCCACCTCCACCTCCATCAGCACCGCGTCCGGCCTCGTCACATAGCACAGCATGGCTGGGGCCGCCGCTACCGCCACAGCCGCCTCCTCTTTGGTGTGCGCGGGGCTGCCGCTTCGCCGCCGTTCAGCCCGGGCCCCGGGCTCGGCGAGGCTGGCCCGCGCAGACCCCTGCCCTGCGCCCGCCCCGCCACCCCCACGCCGGCCCGCCGCTCGCCCGCACCACAGGACTTGAAGTCCCCACGGCGGCGCCGCACTCCAGCACCGTCTGCCTGCAGCGCGCCGGAGACTCCGGTGATATAGAGGCCCCGCCCCCTTCGGCTGGGGACCCCGCCAATCATTGAGTCCTCTTCCCCCGCCGCCCCGCCAGCCAATAGAGGCGGCCGCCCGGCCGCGGCCCCACCTCCCAGCGCGCGCGTGTTCCCCCGGCAGCCCCGGGAAGTGTCCGCTTGCGGACGCCGGGCTCCCGGGGAGGAGGGGACAGCGCATTGCTGCCGCTGCCTCTGCCCGCTGGGCGACGCTGCTCGGAGCGAGCGGCCTCGCGGGGCTCCCAGGCGGGGACGCCTTCCTGTCGGGCTTGCGTGTGCAGTGATTGAACCTTCCGAGCTGCTGCTCTTCAGAAGCCTCGCATCGCCCCAAAAACACGAGGAGGGGAAAGCAAAAAAGGAAAGGGCGCCACCCCAAAGCCTAAAGAAAACTGTTCTCCCCCTGGGTTTGCCACAGAGGGTGGTTAGAAGACGAGCGATAGTTGCTCATTTTAGACTCGTCATTGAAAAGAAACAAAATCTGAGTTTAAAAGTTTTTGCAATTGACCAATAAGCCAGGGAGTTTGATGTAGTGCTTCTATGTGAATCCTTTCCAGAGGCTTCTGTTTCCCTGTAGTACTGAATCAAAACACCTTATGGGGCACTCAGACCCCCCTCTGGTTTCCTGCCCTGTTTTATATCCCTCATTTACTCACTGCACATTAATTGAGCACCTGCAGTGCAGCCATCCCTTCTCTTGGGCTACCAGATGTTACCCCCATCTTAGAGGTAAGGGACTGATCTCAGAACCTGACAGGTAGTATAACCTCACTAGTAGCTATTAATAATTAAAAGTACAGCTTCATTTGCTACTTGTTCCTTGTTGCCCATACGTTACTAGGCCTACCTCTTTGATCTCTTTACAGGAGAAGTGAGAAGGGTTTCCGCCTCGGACACGTGGAAAACTTCCTCACTCTTTGAAGCACAGCGTTCTCAACGGTAAAATGGAGCCCACAAAATCCGGGCATTGCTGTGAAGAGCAACAGAGCCAAAGCTCAGGAAGGCATTTGAATGACCCTGTATATGTAAGGAAGTTCGTAATGTCAGCTCTGTCCCTGCCTGCCGATGACTTGTGCCCTTACCCCTTTCCCTGAGTCCGTCCCAGTGGCCTTTATTTCTGGAGCAGTAGGAAGGATCCTACCACAGTTTTTCACTAAAGCCAACTATGGGTGAAACTGTAAATAGTCAAAGTCCTGAACTCCAGGGCTGCAGACGGACATGTGTCTTCCCACGTGTCTGTGTCTTATGAATGCACCTCATGATACTGTGCTGCTGAAATATTCTCAGCTTGTATCAACTCTCTTCCTCATTCTCTTAATTCCACTGTACTGATCTGGGATATTTGTCTGGGAGATAACTTTTGATCTTTGTTATCTAATCTAGGTTTCATCACTAGAAATTTTAGAACAGGGAGAGGAGGGTGAGGGCCAAGACGGAGGCCAGGGATACTGGTTCATATTTTTGTTTATGAGCAACTAAGCTGGCTAACCCAAAGCCAGCTAATCAAAAGTTGGCTAATTTAAGCAAAAGAGAATTGAGTGCACACATTTTGGGAGCTCACAGAGTCAGTGGGGAAAAGGCACGGAAAGGCACAGAAAGGGAGCAATTTTGGTTGACCAAGAAAACAGACAAAAACGAAAACAGCAAAACCCAAAACCAAATACTCCTTTTCTGGAGAAACTACTTAAAAAAGTCTTCTGTGTTTGGTTTTGGCAAGGAAATTTCTAATCCAAACCCAGATTATGCTCTTGCTATGGATGGTTGGTAAAGATTCCAATTGTTTTTGAAATTAAGCATCACCAGATAAGACTGAAGAGGAGAAGGATTTCTTAAAATAAAATGAAGCAAAGCTAAAAACAAGAACATGGTCCTGGGGAGGGAAGCGGTTGGGTTAGCCAGTTTAGTTGCTCATAAACCCTCATGACAGAGAAGAAAAAGAATTCTGACTTCTCCCAGCATGTGCAGGCAATATGAGACCATCATCTCCCCTGCCACCCCCACCTCTCTCTAATTTCTTCCTTGAGTAGAGATAGGGAGAGACCAGTTGGTTCAGGAAAAAGGCTGTGTATACGCATGTCTGGGTGAGAAGGCACATTATGCTCAAAGACCCAGTTAGGGAATAGAAGTAGAATTACTTCCTAGAGGATCCTGCCATCTGGTAGTGCTTCTAAACGTCTGGAGCCAGTTTCAAGGCCCAACTGGCTCGAACTCCAAAATAAGAGACTCTGACACCGGCCTGGGGGTGGTGACTGTATTGGATAGAGCTGTGACAGGAAGCAGTTCTGAATTAGCCAGGGAGGTGCTGCATTTTATCTGTGTCTGCCTTCTTTTGCTCTCCATTAGCTATCACCTTTAAAGATAGCATTAAAACTAACTAGCAAAATAAAAGGATCAGCCGCATAAAAGTAGATTTTTAAAATAGCAACCACAATGAAGTGGAAGAGTTGGCTAAGCCAGTGGAGTCCTGGATGTTCACACACACTCAAGTGCCACTGTTTTTGTCTCATACACCAGGGTTCAAGACCGAGCACTAAAGGCTGTAGGACGCGATGTGATGGTAGTGTGGCTCCAGCATTCCTCTTCTGGTTAAGCACTAGGTCCGATCTGGCTGGATGCCTATCCTTCCTCATTCCTCTCTTCACACTGCACTCGCCGCTGCAGAGACCCTGTCTGAGTTGAAGGAAAGGCCCTTTTCCTCTCTACCTCTCAACCTTTGTTAGCGGGAGCGTGGATGGAAGAACAATTAGTAATGAACTAAAACACTGTCCTTTTTCTTTCACACATTATTTAAGTGAATTATTCACATAAGTAGTGCTGCTCATCAAGCACAGGCCTTTAGAATGTGTCAAGGGAGCTGAAATCTCTCATTTGAAATATTAGACTTGGTGAAATTCAGGAGTAGCTTACATGAATCCTGGCCTGCCATCGAAGCAGAGCATCTCATTTCCAAAACTGGCTGTTTGAAGAGTCGAAGCAGGAATAGAGAGAACAGGCAACATCTATATTACAGACTCTGGATCACATAAAATGGCATTGTCTTAATTAGCAGGCAGTTTCAATGATTTTTCTTCTACTTGTGATAGTAGTTCATAGCAGACAGCTTGGAAAAGATAGAAAAGTACAAGGGAAGAAAATGAAGTACGTGTTAGTATTGATGTTTTTTGTAATTTGCATGAAGTGTACTCTATGTTTTGATGGCTTTACAATCAAATATTGCATGTGAACTTCTGGAGACATATCAAGACAGCAGGAGATCCTTGGGGTGGGGAGTTTCAAATCTAAACCTACTGTTACCCATATTAAGAAATGTAAACAGAAAGAGCAATCTCCATGATAAGAATTCTAACCACTGTTGACCCCTGAATAATACGGGGCTGGGGTGCCAACCCTTAGGCAGTCAAAAATCTGTGTTTAACTTTTTACTCCCCAAAAACTTAACTGCTGATAGTTTACTATGACTGGAAGCCTTATTGATAGCATAAACAGTCATTGAACATATACTTTGTATGTCTAATGTATTAAATACTGTATTTTTATAATAAGTAAGCTAGAGAAAAGAAATGCTTTTCAAATGTTTCTTCAAATTTTTCAAATGTTTCTGAAAATCTCCAAAAAATTTTTCAGTATATTTATTGAAAAACAAACCGTGTACGGTGGACCTATGCAGTTCAAACCCATGTTGTTCAAGGCTCAGCTGTTTCTCAGCTGTCCTCTTTTCTCTTCTGAAGTAGTACCCTTTCCTCTATTTGTTTTCCTTTTCACTACTAGCATGCCCTGAAACATTCTGTGATATACTTACTTCTTTGGCATATTTCATTTAGTAAGAGATGGTCAGGGCTGGGAAATCATTTCCAATTTGGCACATTTTATTTAACAACAAAAATATTTTGTTTAATATTTTAATACCTCTGCTGTGCTTATGGAGATGGCCAGTATATTAGGCATGTGTTTTGATGGTTGCTGCTCAAGTCTGGTGACATGCAGGTGCTGGTCCAAAGTTAATCATCCTTCTCATCTTGAATCAGGCTGGGTGGATACTGGATGTAGCTGGGGGCTGTGAAACAGAGAACAGGCCCCATGGGCCCTAGGCTCAGACTCACAAATCTACCCTAACTGGTAGGTGTGTAAACCAACTGATCTGTAATGACACATCTCACCTGCTCCTTACACCATGTCTGAGCATGCCTTCCTGTGAAGGCCAGAGGGAACAGATGATGTATTGTGTGGACAGAGCTTGGTGGGGGTTGCCATTCTCCAAATCAGTGGCACATTAGAGAGTACCAACTTTCCAGAGAAAAGTGACAACTGTTAGAAATGCTATAGAAATTCCTGAAGTACATGAAATCAGCTACATATGTTGGGAAAACCACAAGCTACTAATAAGACAGAAAACAAGACAATGATTGCTTGGAAGGAGGCAGCTTCTCACTAACTTCAATGATACCATCTTGGCCCAACTCATTTATGGTTGCCACACTTGCATAGTTTATACCACTTGATATGTGAATCTTATCCCTCCTTCAGTTATTTAATATTTTGTCCTTGCTATGTTCTTGGAGATAGTGTGCTTATTTGAAAATGACTTGAAAACAAAAGTCTACTTTCCCCTTGGCCATCTCTCAATGGCTGTAAGTGCCCAGCACCCTCTATTAATTGTTTTCTCCTCTCTCTGCTTCCTTCTTCCTCTCTCCCCTGGTTCAAGATTCCTAGAAGGGGTTGGACAGGAAGCTGCCCCATCCCAGGGGGAAGGAAGCAGTCTTGGCTTTCCTTACTTGCCAAGATGGATCTGGCCCCTGGCCCTGTGTTTCTCTCCACAGCAGACAAGTTAGCAGAGCCCAGGAGCACAGCCGTGATTAGGTGGGGGCTGTGGGTGTTCCCCAGATGGACTCCAACAGGCACCCCTGCCTTCCTTGGCTCCAGACTTCCAAGAGAAGAGGAGTCTGAGCATGTGCTCCTCAGTGGTTGATGGGAAGCTGGTGTTCACCAAAGGTTAGGGTACTGTGAAGCCCGGAGAGCAGAACAGGTCTGGTGCTGACCTGACTCATTTTTGTGTAGTTGATAATCCCTTAGCCATCTGTGGAACTTGCCCAAACAGCCTGGCCCTGTCTTAGCTTTCTGCAGATTGTGGTGAAAAAAGAAGACATCGGTCTGAGCTTTAAAGGAAATAGAACCCTTCTAGGGCCAGAGTGGAGGAAATAATAGCAACTGCAGGAGTACTTCCAGAGAAAGCTAAGGAGTCCACTGCCTACACTGCTTATTATTTCCCTTCTTGGAGAACCTGGTTTTTAATTCTGGTCAGTGTCTTAGTCTACTTAGGCTGCCATAACAAATATCACAGACTGAGCAGCTGAAGTGACAGAAATGTATTCTCTCATAATTCTGGAGGCTGACAAGTCCAAGATGAAGGTGCTAGTGTGGACAGCTCCTGGTGAGAGCTCTTTGTCCGACCTGCTCACTTCCTATGCCCTCACACAGTGGAAAGCTGAGGGAAGCAGCAAGCTCTCTAGTGTCTCTTTGTGTAAGGGTACTAATCCCATCACAGGGGCCCCACCCACATGATCTGATCTAAATCTAATGACCTCCAAAGGCCACCTCTAAATGCTATCACATTGAGTGGTAGGGCTTCAGCATATGAATTTGGGAGACACTGTTCAGTCCATAGCATTCAGAAAGGCAGCAACTCCATATACACCCACATACATTTCACATTTTAATCCATATTCTAAATAATGAATAAGTTCAAACATACACAGGCATACTGGTTTTATTGAGTTTCGTTTATTGCACTTTGCAGACACTGCACTTTACAGACTGAAGCTTTGTAACAACCCTGCATCAAGCAAGTCCACTGGCACCATTTTTCCAACAGCATTTGCTCACTTAGTTTCTCTGTGTCACATTCTAGTAATTCTGGCAATATTTCAAACTTTTCCATTGTTACTATATTTGCTATCGTGATTCATGATCAGGGGTTACAACTGAGTGAAAGCTCAGATATGGTTAATACTTTACAGCAATGGAATATTTTTTGATTTAAGGTATGTGTGTTGATTTTTTTAGACATAATGCTGTTGCATACTTAGTAGACTACAGTAGAGTGTAAACATAACCTTCATAAATTCATTTGACTCTCTTGATTTTTATATTTTCTTTGTTGCAGTGGTCTGTAATGACCCTGAGATATCCCTGAGGTATACCTGTGTCCATTAGTCCTGACACTGGGGGACTCACTAATTCAGACTCGTTTCACATTTTTGCTAAACAACAAAGTAACTTGTTGGCCAAAGTGAAACTTTGTAGCACATGCTTGAAATAGTTTGCAAGTGTTGATAGAGATGAGGGTCTGCTGTGAAATTCACTATTGTGTAGTTTGAGCCTAGTGTTTTGTCTGCACTAAGAGCAGTAAAAATCTAAATATGAACAAGCCAGAAGACAAAATACTTATACCTGCTAGCTTTGGCAGTGTGCGGTTCATAAATGTGCTTATTGTTATTATCATTGTTATTCCACATTGCTAGGATCCTTCACTTGGTGTGTAGCATTCACTCATTCATTTACTCAACAAATGAAACGACAGCCAGAAAAATGTTAGGCACTGGTGTTGGAACAAAGAACAAACTTGCCTCGTGAAACTTACACTCCAGGAAGGGAAATGGACCATATACAAGAGGAGCAAGTAAACCATAAATGCTAAGCAGAAAAACGAAGCAGGAAAGGGGGACAGGAAGTATTGGAGTAGGAGTGGGATATGATTTGCAATTTTGGATAAATTGGCAACGGAAGGCTCATGGAGAAAGTTACCAGAAGCAAGACTTAAGGGATACAAGGGAAGGACAGATGGAGTCCTGTGAATGAGCATCTGTGGCGAAAGCCTTCCTGGAAGAGGAAATCACCTGTGCAAAACCCTTTGAAGGGTCTGGTCTGTGTGGCTGCAGCATGGGGCAGAGGAAATGAACTTGAAGATAGGAGGGAGGTAGACAGAGGAGTGACATCGGAATCTGAATAACATCCTTTGTTAAAAGTTACTGTGCTTGTTTTCCTCCTGTTTTACAGATAAAAGTCCAGGAGAATCAAACATATAAATAATTGACAGATGCTTTGTTAGAAATCCTTCCACCTGAAACCTACTTTCTCTTCAAAATGCAAACAGTTAAAATTCACTGTTAATTTTTTTCCATCAACCTAACAAAAATTTTTTTTTCATCTTTTTCTCAGAATCTGACTGCCAATGGTAAATGCAAGAAGACAATGTTCAAACTCCAAATCTTTTTATCTTGAAGTCTAATTTAGATGGAGAGATTTGTAATACAAAATTTTAACTAGCTTACTTTAATAGATTAGGGCAAATATATACTCATGAAAACAAAATTCCACTTGGGTTGCTATCACTGTTCCTGCTGTAACTGAAAAAAATATTTTGATTTATTAGAGACGGATTGCCCAAAGCAGGTATATAGATCTCAGGATTGTGATAGATTAAGAACAAGCAATACCTATATTTGTAGGTGCTTTGAGAATAATACAATCCTTCTCTCTCTTTTCTAGTTCCAGTCAATAAGAGGTCTTTTCTCATATTGTAGTTTTTTTCCTCAGATTCCAGCCTCTCTCACACACACACACACACACACACACACACACACACACATATATATATTTTAAATTTAATCTAGCTGTGAAAATGTTTAATTGAAAAATGGCAAGTCTGAGATAATACATGAATGCCAGGTATAAAAATGAGATAACACAGATAAAAATACCTAGAAGAAAAGTGATATTCCAGTGTACAGTGGTAAAATGATATTATTCCCTTAAATTGCTCACCTGTGTTATGTGCCTTTATCATTCATTTGATGACCTTGATGTGTAAATCAGTTCTCTTAGGGGACAATTCTTAATGATAGATGATGACTGAAAGGATCTGCAGCTCCTGGTGATATTTGGTAGTAAAACCAATTAGATCATTCCATATTATAAATGTAAAATTGTGTTTTGCCCCTAGAATTTTAGAGTAGGTCATGAAAAGGAAAACACGTATTATCAATAATTAAAACTGTCCTAAGTATTTACAGTGGTGCTCGCAATATTTATGTACTGTTAACAAGACCATCTTAAACTTTTTTTTTGGTTTTAGAAGCTATCTTTTATTACTTAAATTTTTTTATTTGACATAATTTTACACTTACCGAATAGTACACAGAATTTCACAACAGAATCCCCAGACACTAACATTTGATCACTTAGCTTTACCTTTTTTTTCTTTATGTATGTAATTTTTTTCCTGAACTGTTTGAGAGTAAATTGCAGACATTATACTATCTTTGACCCTAAGTACTTCAAGAATAAGTATTAATCCACATATATATCCAAATATTTGAAAGTATGGATATTATCTTACAAAATGGTATACAATTATCATAATCGATAAATTGACTACTTCTAATATCCAGACCTTATTCATATTTCACCACTTGTTTCATTAGTTTTTTATAGCAAAAAAAGAACTCCGGATTATACCTTGCTTTCAGTTGTCACATCTCTCTCCTCTCCTTTGATCTGGAATAGTGCGTCGGTCTTTCACTGCACTGGCGTTTGGAAGAGTATAGGTCTTGTAGAGACCTCAGCTTGAGCACAGTGTGACATATGCATTCAAAAAAGTGTAAAAGATTCATTAAAGACCAGACCTTCTCCCTTACATTCCCTCACGCACTTTTGCTGTTTTCCTGTTTTCCAAATCAATTGTCCTGTGAGAGGCTTTCAGACTTGGACAGGACATGTGCCTTTAATTGCTGTGGCAATTTGACTGCTGTGGTCAACATCCAATTAGATGGGTTGATGGTCAACTTGGTTAGGGGTTAGCCATTCCTTACTGGCTGAACTGTGATGCAGACTGTTAAAAGCTACACAAGCCCTCACTGAATGCTCTCATCAAGAGAAATCAAAGTATACAGAGTTCACTGCTCACCATTGCCTCTGTCATGGCTGGAGCCACCCAATTCCTGTGGCCTGCTTACTGGTTTCATGGGCCTTTCCACTTTCTCTGATGATGAGACTCTGGTCAGGTGATGAGGATGCTTCACTGCCTCTTGGTGGTCCTGCGTGCACTCCTGTTTTCAGCTCTCCTTGCCCATGTTGTGCAATTGAAAATGAAGCGTCACATTCCTCTAGGCAGCACGAAAAAAATGCAATTATCAAGTGGCCCATAGTAGGTAAGGCCTCTGTAGATGGTTTCAAATATCTCAGTCCTGTCTGACCCTTGGGTGCTTGCCTTCAAAGTCCTCTCAGCCTTTGTCTCCACATTTCACTCAAGAGGAAGATTCTCCTGCAGACCTCTGAGAATGAGCAGTGCCTTGGGTCCAGCATGTTCCATACTCAGCACAAGAGAACAGAGAGCAAGCTGGCAGATCATGCAGATCACCAGGAAGGAAATACACCAAAATGTTGGCATGATTATTTGGGTTGGCAAGAATTTATAGAAAGAAATAAATATTTTTAAAAATGAACCACCTAATTTTCTTTATTTTAGAACTTTATTTAAATAACTGGCCATTGCTTTTATTATCTGAAAGTAATACTAGTCCAGTGTTGTAATTCTTTAACATTACTTAAAATACTAATAAGGTGTTTTAAACTAACCAAAGAAGGAAAACATCGATAGGGGCCTCCACTAAAACAGATTGAAACTCCATTAGTTGCACTTCAAAGGATACCTATTATTATTCTACTCTGTCAATTCAAGGCACCAATTAACTATTCAGGTTGTTTCCCCAAATTGTGTTTAACAGGTATTTATACTTGGATAAGTAGGTTACTGGAAAAGTAGCTGGAAATTCTGGTAGTCTAAATTCTACTAAGCCCATGTCTCTTATTTTTTAAAACACCGTATGTTCTAATTACCTGAAGATCTTTTGAACCTTGCCAATTATCATCTCATTGCCTTGGGACGAATATTAAGGTAGAAACTTTTCCACGCTCTTCCTGTAACGCCAACATGTAGTTTCAAATCCAAAGGAAGGAACACATTTAACTTGAGCAGCAAGCTCTATCATGCCAAACAGATTTCCGCATAGAAGGTTATATTTGTATACACACACACCAAGGACATTTTTTCATATGACAATGTCTGAGATATTTGCAGAGAGAAATAAGCAATGATTTCTCTACAAGCTTATGAGCTAAGTTAAACAGTGAGTGTTCATTACCACCCTACAAAATTTCTTATTTCTTGACTGTAAGGTCATTCTGCTAGTTCTCATTCAGAGTCCTCTGTGCAACATCCATATAGGCAAAATGGAAATGTGGTCAGTGAAGGTCACCAACCTTCAGCTTAATAGGCTAAAAAGTGCACGTACAAGGATTGTAATGCTGACCCCGAATACCGTACCAAAATCTCAGTCAAAGACTCAATTTGAGAGCTGTAAAATGGAGTTAATGCCTGTTCTCTGTACACACTGGGGTATTAGAAGACAGAAATGAGAGAAGTTACATGAACACACTACCAGAATATAAAGCAGATATATTTTCCTTAATGGACAATGGGAGATGCTCCTTGTTTTCTGTTTCTTAAAGTTCAAAGGATTAAAGCACATAATGTAATGGAAAGAAAAGAATGGGAAATTATAAAAGCAATGTGCTATGCAATGATATAATCCGCGTGTGTTTTCAGAGTCATCAAGAATATGGGGTCCTTCCTGCCAGCTCTGTGTGACTGCTGAGGAAGCATCAATGGCCACTAAGGAGGCTCTGCCGTCTCCCTTGCTGGCCTGCACAAGAGAAAGTGAAACTTCTTTTCAGAGAATGACATAATGTTGTGTAAGACACGGATAAGACTTGTTTTGACATTTGAAATAAATTACCAAAAAAACTGAAGAAAATTTTGAAAGCAGATGTAAATATACCTAATTTCCTTCTGTATGTTGCTGGATCTGATTTTATAATGTTGATGTAAAAGAGAGATATTGGTCTGTAGTTCTCTTATCTTTTAATAAGAAAATGCTGGCCTCATAGAATGAGTTGGAAAGTATCTCCTTCTCTTGTGTTTTCTGGACTTTTGTTGTAGAATTGATGTTAATTCTTCTGGAAATGTTTGGTGGAGTTCATGTTTCTTTCTTAACCAAGGTCAAAATCCCAAGTCTTCCCTCATCTCATCACAGCCAGCCTGGGGCCTGCCCCCAGGGAGGCCTGAGCACGCCAGCTGACTTCTTCTCCAGAGTGGGCTCCTAGGGAGTGGGGCAAATCTCAACATCCTTCTGTCTCACTCTCCATTCCTTCCCCTTAAACTCTAGACTGGAGTTGGGACACAACTGAGTTTTGAATTAGTAGAATTTTAGGTTATTAAAAGGTTTCCAGTGAAACTTAAAAAAGTATGACTTTTTAATAAAATCATATGCCTGATGTGGTTTTCTATTTCATTTACGTTTAATTCTACTAGTTTCAAATTTATTTTTTTCCTTTCCTTTTTTATGGAATGTGGGAAAATATTTAAACTGGGCTACCTTCTGTAGTACTTGAACATGATTCATCATTTTATTGAACTGGGTGCATCTGAACCAAATAACCTTGGGTTCCTAGGAAGTAGGTCTGTCAACGCCATCCTTCATGTTGACCACAATTTATTTAGTACAGCCACAGCTGTTTATTAATGTAATAATACAGGTAGGTGGTCTGGTAGCTGAACAGCAGGGAAGTTCTTCTAGATCATGTATAGAGACTATAACTCAATCTATGTGAAAATGATCAATTATAGACTATAGTTCTAATATAGGGTTATTTCTATGTGGCATTTTGTTTTACTATGTAACTACTAAAAAAAGTCATTAAACTGTTATGCTGACAGTTAAAGTATTATTTGACTTTCAGCTGGACTTTTAACTTAAAAACAAAACAAAGGACCTATTAGCAGAACAGGCTTATGCCAAATGGTTTCTTTGAACCAGCAATATTCATCTTCAGAGTTAATGTAGAGTTTTAAAACTACACAATTCTTTAAAATTATGCCAGTCCCAGAATTTTCTTCCCCTATTTTGTCCTTTTATTTCAGTGAAAGGATGCCATTCTTTTAAATCTTCACCTCCATGATTGTGACTTAAATGGTACATCATACAGATTTTCTAAAGGATGAGCTGACATACAATCTGAAGTTATACAGATGTGAGCAGGCAAAGCATTTTATCTTTGTCATCTTTACATATGGTTAAAAAGAATCTACTTTCTCCTACCTTCATGAAAAAGAATTTAATACATGGCTTTTTCCCTTTAATCAGAGGTTCTTTTCCAGGCCATCAATTCGACTTCTTAATAGTTCGTATTCTTCAAAACTCTTAGTTTGAATAGAATCATCACCGATTGTTATTTTATGTCCATAGTTTCACTATCTGGTTTCCTCCACTTCCAACCAAAGCTTTCAAAATTGTTCTCCTCTGGTTTTTAAAATAGATAAGAGAGTGCCTTGTAGGCTAACATAGTATGAGTTCTCATTGTTTCATGATGTATTCAGCAGGCTAAACTAGTCCTGTCTGAACTGTTTGACAAATAAGAAGCATACTGCTTTTATAATTTATATTTAACTTTTTAACATTTACATAAAATATTTATATAACATAAATTTCATGTCTGTATAAAATTTATGTATTTTATATTTATACAAAATTTAAATGTTAATATTAAAATTTTTATTTTTATTTAAAAATGCACTTAAAAATAATTACACATATTAAATACTTTATGAGTTCATATATGGTCATGCTGCAAGTCAAGCTAATTTTAGCAATGTTATAATATTGCAAAATATAATTTATATAATATGTAAATATAATAAATATATTTTAGCATATATTTTAATATTTTAAGATATTATTTCATACATTAGTTATATTTTATAAATTATTTTTATATTACTGAATATATTTTATTTAAGTTATTATT